CATTAGCCAAACTAAGGAGGCATGAAAAGCACAGTACTCGCTGTACATGCTGCGAATGTGGTCTTGTTTTTTCTGCGTAGCACCTCAATGTTTGTCTCCTGTTGTTACACATTATCCAAATGTTCATTGACATTTAAAACAAAATAATATTATTTAAAGTAGATTCATAGCCCTTTCCAAATTTCGGCACAATCTTCGATGTTGACTTCTGCTTTTAGAATGCAGTTTATTGTCTTTAGTGTGCTGAGTGCCTTGAGTCATCCAGACTTGTGCCATCTCATGTTATTACAATTGAAACATTTGGTTGGCTCGTGGCCAACTACTGCTGAGCAATTTCAATAATTGCATCAATTTCAATAAGCACCAATACCATCCTGCTATTGATGCTTATTGTGGAGTACTGGAACTTAGTCATTAGAGCACTCTCCTCGCAAGCGATTCACGGGCAGGGTGAAACGTTGGGCAAGTTTCCTTAAACCACACACCTCTGTTTACCTCGCGGTAAATAGGAACCCGGTTGTTAGTCGATTGGTGGATCGCTTTTCCGAGGGTATTAATCCCTTAAAAAATATATAATAATTTGGTTATTCAATCCATGTTTTGCTCACAAAATATAAAGTCAATTCACTTTACAGTATATTCTGTGAAGCGCTTTGAGACGTCTAGAAGACGTAGTAAAGCGCTATATCAAATGCAAGGATTATTATTGCTACTTTCTGGTAACTATAATCGATATCTGAGCATTTAACCACGTTCCAACGTTTGTGAAGTAGCTCGTTCTCGGCAATAGGTCATCTTTGACAAATTATATTCCCTCTTGTTTGGGGAGGAATTGTAAGAGACATCCTGTATCTACTTGTCTTGTTTCTAGTAGTCAACCCATAATTATAAATTGTAGACAGCAACTGAATAAATAATAATTCTTGCATTTGCTTTTCACATTGGGAGGACATCTCAAAACACTTGACAGGATTTTATTGTTTAATATCTGTGTATTTTGTATGCAACCATAGCAGCCAATTTGCGCATAACTACAAACAACCAAGAAGTGAACGACCAATTTTATTTTGGGCGATTGTTGGCCAGGAGACCAGGAAAATCTCTCCTTTTTGCAAATAGTACTGTTGCATCTTTAACCTCCATCTGAACAGGCAGACGGGACCACAGCCTAACGTTTCATCTAAAGGAATAGCACTGAAGTTGGAATGTAAGCTGTTGCTTTACCATCAATTCCATCTCCATCAATTTTGAAACCCTGACAGTTTGTGGCTTTAGCTACCTTTAAATGTCTTAGATAGTTCTTGATTGCCTTTAGCTAATGTGGAACTTAATGATCCAGACCCTGAAAGAAGCATTGGAAGGATTGGACAAGTTATTGAGAGAGGAATGCCTTTGCAGATGCTTTCTTAAAAGAATCAGATTCTATATAATATATATAATAATCCCTGCATTTGATATAGTGTCTTGTCACGTCTTTAAAATGTCTCAAAGCGCTTCACAGAATATACTAAAGTCAATCGACTGTATATTTTGTGGGTGAAATGTGGCAGCCGATTGTGTACAGCAGTGTCCCACAAACAGTCGTGGATTGAGTGACCAAATTATTTTCTTAATTTTTTTTTGAAGGAATTATTACTCCCAGAAAAGAGATCCGCCAGTTGACTAACAACCAGCTTCATACTTACTGCTGGGTAAACAGAGGCATGTGGAGTAAGGACACTTGCCCAACATTTTGCCCAGCCAGGAATCGAACTCTGGTCTCTCACATTCGAGGCGAGTGCTCTAACAACTGAGCTACAGGACTCCATTATGATTCTATAATTACAGTTGTGAGTGATATTTTCTCACATGATAGACATCACACAACTCGTTGATAGTGAACACTTGTGAAAACTACGGTGTAGCTACAGTAGCATTGATTGGAGCATCTGTTCATTGGACTGCAGAGTCCATTATGGGTTTCAAGAAGGAAGTAGATAGGTATGAAGGATAGAGGCTTGAAGGGGGTATGGTCATAAGGCAGTGCAGTGGTATTCAATCAACCCCTTACTCCGAGAGCTGGTGCAGACTCAATGGACTTACCAGCCTCCCTCTGTGCTGTAAATTTCTATGATTCTTCCTATCTGATGATATGAGCACAAAAATACAATCAAATATCCGGGATGCTTTTAGTTCTGAATGAAGGTCAGATCTTGCAGCTCTCGTTCTCAAGCGTAATCAGTTGCATCCTTGTGAATTTTACCATGCTACTATATCTGGTGGACCTTGCAGGATTTACCTACCTTGTAAGCCTTTAACTCCAAAATACACAGCCACTATACTTTACTGTAAAGCCTGCAAAGTGCCTTGACGTCCTCTTGATGTGAATAGCGCTTTAATCAATTTGCAAGGATTATTTTGTTATTATTTCTTCTCCTTCCTGCTTCTCTCTTGCAGAAACATTTTTTTTGTTCATCTGGCATGGATTCCTCTGAAATTGCACAGATGGAACTATGATAACCTGGGGAAGGACTCTGGCCCCTGATACAAAGACTTATGAAGCTGCAGACATGGGAGAAATCAGGATATTTGCCCAGGGCAAGGTGCACATTGCAACATACTGAACCCCATGGGTTATATCAATGCGCACAAAGTAGATTGATACAAAAGTCAGCCAAGGACAACAGTTTGGCTATGTGAATAACATTATAACAGACCGCAAATTCTTGCAATAATCCTCAGTGGGTTGAAATGATTCCCGCAGGGCAAAGATTCTTTCTGTGTTAGAAAGCCTGATTGCTATTTTCATCTTTTCCAGTTGGGTCCAGTGACTCAAGACAATATGTACTTTGGCACTTCTGTAATTTAAGTCTCCTCAAAATCGAGTTAAGAGTTTCTTTGTTGTTGTTTGGCCATCTTATTTATAGAATTCATTTAAACGTCAGGTTATGTGGAATTATGTGAAAGAATATCCTATTGCTTCAGTATTTGCTTTCTCATCCTTTCAACAAGAGAGTTCCACCTCCACAAAGATCCTGTTTGTTAACCGATCAATTCTCTGATCTACAGCACTTGGAGCTTGTTTTTTTTGTTCATTGCCTCTCATTTCTGTCTGCACTAAATTCCAGGACTGTTTTTTTTGCGCGATGGGTGTGTGAACCCTGGATTGAGAACTACCTGATTCACTCGCATTGCAGTTGACAAAAGTCCACAGTACTTTTGTCATTCTGCAATTATCCTTAATGGGTATCAGTTGGGATAAGTTCAGTGCTGTCAAGCTGCTTCTGCATTCTGCTTTTGTTTTTCTGTTGTGTTTGAATTACTTGGAACAGCTGTGAACTGTGAAATATGAAGCAGCTTGGCTGGCTTGACTACTCAACTATTGCACAACACACGAGGGAAAAAGTCCTTTGTTTGGTGCTATAAAATCTGCTGTTTAATACACATAGCTTCTGCACTTTCAGAAAGATCAGAATTTTAATTCGGTAATAACCCAATTAAAACAGTTTAGTGATTGTTGCAATGTGGTACAATGTAGATATGAAAATTTATGAAACGCTTACCAGCTTTTCCCCCCCCCCCCCTCCCCTTTCCCTTCTCTTTCCTTGAGTCAATGTTGTCATGTCATGTGTTGGTGACCTTTGGCGCTTTAACTGTCTTTCAATTTTTGCTTTATTTCCAACAAGATTATTTAGTGCAGGAATCCATTTGTTTTAAAAGATGGGTGAAAAAGACACAGAATAATTTATCTCCTGTCTAGACAGAGGCTTTACGTGTAAGGTAATGATAATAATAATGCTCCTTGAATTGTGCTATAACCCCTTGTCACGTTGTTGAGATGTCACAAAGAGCTTTTCCAGGATTTTACTACGAAGTGCAGTAACTATATATTTGTAGGCAGGTATGTGGTAAGTGATAAGCATGTCATTGGTTAGTGATATGTTATTAGGTACATTTCACTTGTGCTTAACTGGTATGCCTGCCCTTCACGTTGACATTGCTACTGATTTTCACCCACAAAATATACAGTCAATTCACTTTACAGTATATTCTATGAAGCGCTTTCAGACGTCTTGAAGACGTGATAAGGCGCTATATCTAATGCAAGGATTATTATTATTTAAGTGGAGTTCAATTGTGAGTTTTTGAAGTTTTTGTATGACGGAATTATGGGTGTTTTTTTCACCAGGATTTCTGTGATTCAGAGTGGTGAGTAAGTAGGAATTTTCAAACTCTGTTTAGCTGCGTGCTGAATTAGTCCCCATGTTCCAAGTAAAGTAAAGAGGCCTTCCCTTGGAATTCAGGCTGTGTCTGGAGAGAGAATTTTGAGATTATACAACACAAAAGTGAAGTATTGAGGTTTACCATACAAATGTAATCTTGTTGTTACAGGTCTGTTATTGGTGGGGTACATGTGGCGTTAATTAATAACAAAGAATATATTGTCACAACATTAAAGACCTTTACCGATCTTTAACATTAACAACCGCCAGTGACATTTTTCTAATAGCATATTAATACCATTGCTCTATATAGGGAATACTTCTGGGGTTTGGGGCCGTTTAGTTCTGATAAGTGACTAAGAGCTGCACTTACTTGATTTGAAACATGGTTGAGGGGAGACATGGTCCATGTGTTTAAGAAGTTTAACAAGGAGCTAACACATTTAGAAGAGGAAGGAAAAAAGTTTCTGTTTCATAAAACGTCTTTGAGACAATTTTGATGACCATGACATGACCACAATGTCAAGTCGATCTTGTCAATGTCTTCCTTGTAAATTATTCCCAGTTGACATTTGAAAAAGCAAAACAGTCCTTTCGGTTTTAAGTGAACTCCCGAAGTAGGCAGGAAGCATCTTGTTTATTTCCAGAGTCTTGCCAACGGGACATAACAAAATATAATTCCTTTTAAAATTTGGTTCAGCTTGACATGTCGACTAAGATTAAACTAATTCAGTAACCGTGATGCCTGTACTGATTTTTCCCACATCTTCACATGTTTCCCTTATGTTTTTCTCACAGCTCGGAACATTGCGATTTTGTGGCACCACTGAATTTGCCAGTGGCCAATGGGCTGGGATTGAGCTGGATGAGCCAGAGGGGAAGAATGATGGTAGCGTTGGAGGCATTCAATATTTCAGCTGTCCTGACAAATATGGTACTGATAATGATTTTGAAAACCTCTCTTTTCTATGCTCTTAGAATCACGCTGGTGCAGAGTAATATTTACCGACTGTTGTTGACCCTCGCTTGGTAATCTCCCAGCAAACGCTGGATATACTCGCTGAGCCTTGGCGGAGTTGTGCGCCAGCACATTAGCTTTCAGGTTCTGAATTGTATTTTCAGAAATGTGAATCCTGTTTTTTGAAGGTCTGATTCATTCTAGGCACAAATTTAATTGTTGTGACAGCTGTAACTGTTGGTCGTGTGGTAGGTTGTCACTTTGATTTAATCTGCACGCCAACATGTCAGTTACCTTTTACTTGCATTTTATTTTATGCTACATTTATTCCCCACACTCCCCATGTGTAGCTTATTTTTCTATCTTACCACCACCACCCACCCACCCCCCCCCCCCCACCACTCCACCATCACCACTTTTAAGGGGCAACAAAAAAAAAGATTCCCAGACTTGTGTTGATGTTGGGGTTTCCGCATGTATCAGACTTCCAGCTGACCTCCCAAAAAAATTGCGCTGAAACTGTTCACTGTGGGGGTTGTGATTGAGCGCAATGTATTCACCCGGCTTGTATTTGCTGGCATCCATGTTCTGAGAAAAATAGCCTAATTCCATTTGACTACAAATACAGACTCTGCACTCAACAACAATTCCCTGTGAAAAAGCTTTGAGACGTTTATTCGGTCTCTTCTTGATCGGTCCACTTAAGATCAACAACATCTTATGAACAGAATTGAGAGAGGATGCAGCTGTACAAACCACACCTTTATGAGGGAGAAGTGAAACCTGAGAGTGATTTCTATCGTCTCAGTCACTAAAAATGCGCACTATTTCCACGAAAGGGATCGTGATGTATTTTCCCACTCACAAAGAAAAACTTGGTGCTGCAGTAATGACAACAACTTGCATTTACATAGTGCTCCTCACGTGGCGTTGCATCCCAGAGCACTTAAAATTAGGGCATTGCCCCTGAGTATTCCACTAGCATTCAGGTCAGCATTTTGAACTGAACTGGAGACCAGGACTAAAGTGAATTTCGCTTGGATTTGCTTTATCGTCAGCTACTACTCTCTTTTCTAGGTTTGGATGTCTCTGGGTCACTCTCCACTTTAGTCTGAAGCACCAACTTGTGTGAACATAAATGAAACTGCTCTGGGATCCACCATTAACCTTTGTGATTGAGCCAACTCTGGGTCTTAATGAAGACTTGTATATCCCTAAAGCAAGGAGACATCATGTTATGAAATTAAATACATCAACAGGAGATGTGCTACTCAAATAGGAAGTACTTAGTATTGAAAGTACTTCCTTGAGGCTTCTTTTCTTCCTCAAATAGGAATGTAGTAGTCTGGTCAATTGTAAATAATTGCATCGGTGATACATAAGCTATTTATGCACTAACAATTCAAATCTTTGAGCTGTGACGGAAAAGTTATAAGTGAACTTTGCCTTCCAAATGAAAGAATTACCATCTCATTGTCATTTCCCTATGGCTGGAAAGATTATTTTAATGAGATTGCGATCTCCTTTCCAAATAGCCCTTCTGTATAACACTTGACTGCCTCGATCTGCCAGCAGTCAGAAATGTAAAGCTTTATTAATTAGTGACTGGCTTTACAAATCATAGAGAGCAAATACTGCAGCTCTTTTGCAAACAATGGAGAAAATTTGTATCTTCAGATGCTAATCTACATTGTTTCGGAAGGTAAATGCTTGAAAAACGGAGCTTTTGGAAGAGAGAAGGTAACTCAGTGAATAGTGACATACAGTCTTTAATGTCCAACTGAAAGAAACAAACTGGCTGTCATTTTTACCTACAATTACAGAGTCACTCAACTTGATAGCATTTTCCTGTAAAGCCCATTGAGATGTTTCTTTTCCTTATTTTGGTCAGCTGGGTGTCTGACATGCAAAAACCCATCACCAAACCATGCATGTTAACAACACATAGTGCAGGTTGGCAAGAGCCAAGTCTTGGGGACCCCAAAGCGTGCGTTGGGGGTACTGCTGGAGTTTACCAGTTAAAACTGCATAACTTGCTGTTGAAAATATTGTCTGTCAAGCTTCCCACCAGCGAGGATCATCCTACTCATTAGGCCTTTGACTAGCAGAGTTAACAGGAGCTGAGCAGGAAGAATCTATGCCCCCATTGACCCCCAAGTCTACTCCTGCAAGGCCTTCCGATAAGCCAAGCAGCTGGTCTGTCATCAGCATTGCCCTCCAGGTGTGGCACCACCTGGCTCATCCACACCTAGACCACGAGAGGATTGACTCAATTAGGATGTTCCGTTGCCAAGAATGTCACCTTCAAGCCAGTTCAGCTCCAAGGAGACCCTGCTTATCCCTTCCCCCCCCAGAGGGTAGTGAGACATTCCCACATTACAGGCACTGAGTTAACTCCAAGCATTATTGTAATGAGGCTCCACTGTACTGGGGATGTGTTGCATTGTTGAAGGTCCCACCCTATGGATGAGCCTAAGATCATTATCTGTGTAAAGACTGAACGGCACTATTCAGAATGAGAAGGCATCAATCTTTAAAATAATGATTCACCTCATAGCTATTCAGGGACCTTGCTGTATGCATATTAGCTGCTGTATTTGCCAATATTTACAGTCAGTACTTGACAGTAATTCTCGGTGAAGTGCTTTGAGACACCTTAGCTGTGTTAACTGCAAGGATTATTTTTAATTGAAATATCCCTTTTCAATTGGCATGAAGGGTTCTATGTCAAATAATTTTGGCCAGTTTCAACTTTGCCATTTAGTCCACAGCTTAAATGTTATAATTAAATTGTTAATTTTCAAGTCATAAATCTGACTGAAAGCTGAAAAATTCCCACTGGTCCTATACTAAGTGCCTCTGAACCACATTGTTGAAGCCAAGTATACACAGGGAGTTTTAATTTCCATGTCATTCATCCTCCACTTGACTTGGGAGTATTGGATGTAGACACTGAGTGTGAAAAGTATTTGTGGAAAGAACAATATTTGTTTAAAGGCTATTTGTTTTAAGGCCTTTTTCTGCCATCCTGGATCATTTAAAGATATATTTGTTGATGTGATGTTCTGTTAAGATGCTTAGCAAGGGAGCAAAGGAGGAGCTTTGCAGGGTTTTTTTGTACTCAGATATTGGTAGGTTACGGAATGCCCTGTTGGGTGTGGTGATCAATATTAACTTTCAAGAGCAAGCTAGATAGATATCTAAAAAAGTTATTTGTATGGATATGTGGAAAAGGCAGATAAATGGGACTGGATGATTTGCTCTTTCAAAAGACCCAGCACAGACACATGATGCTCCAAATGGGCTTCTTCTGTGCTGTAGAGTTCTGCGGTTCTATATGACATGAATATGGGATCAATTTCATGGAAGTTCTTAATTAAGAATTGTTGTGCTTGATTTCTTAATGAAAAAAATTGAGCTTGGATTTCTTCCTGTGATTGGAAATCTGCCACATACGCCACTGATTTGAGGGAAACGTACTCCAAACATGGATTAATTTGGAGCAGCTTTCTCAGCAGTGGTGCTCTTGTTATTATTGTTGTAAATTGGTCTTGTGAGCTTCTGGATTTCTTAATTAAGAAATCTGTGAAGAAGTACAGTAAAATCTATCCCATGGGTGTTTCAGTTACATTAATTTTTGGTTGAATCCAAATTTAAATGACGAATAAGTTTTTTAAAAAAAACAGAATATTCAGTTCGAATCAAGACAGGAAGGACATTTTCATCTGGATTGTAAGGTCCCAAATTACTCTACAATAGCCCCTTGTTCCTGTGATGGATGGTCGTGCACTGGCTTGAAATTTAATAAAAACTAATGTCTTTTCTGATCAAAGGCGATGAAAACAGAGGATTCAGATTTAATTTGGATTCAAAGGGGCTGATAGCCAACCTCTGTGCTCTCTGTAGGAAGAGTGTTACTTGTAAGGAAAGTCACCCCGGTGCTTCAGGTTGCATCCACAGGGCACAAGGTGGGTAAGATGTGTAAATTTTCTTGGGTGGTATATAAAAGTAATTGATAATCCATTAGTCTGTTGCTAAAGAGTAATGGTAACTATCGATCAGAAACTAGGCAGCTTTAGCCAGGCATAAATATTAGAGTACACATTTCAAGTGTTCGTCTTGGGAAAATATATGGAATAAGGTACTGGGAAAAGTTGTTGAAGCAAAAGATTTCCAGTGTTTGGCATAAGGTGAAGGTTTGAAAGATGCGACTGAAATCAAACAAAATACAGTAATTTGTTGATTTTTCCAGTTGATTGTTTTCCTAAAAAGATGCTGAACAGATTCCTGTAATCATACAGTTGTGAGCTGTGTATGTTCAGTATTATGTATTTGTTTTGTTAAAATGATAGACTACAAGCACACCTTTGCTTTGCAACGTGATAGGGCGCAAATCAAGGATTATTGTTATTACACTATGGTTTTGTTCATTTTCTGTGCAATCTGTGTTGCCTTTCTATCAATGACAGCCTAGGGTCGCAAGACTTGTTTTTTCTTCTGCATTATAGAATTGTTTTTCTTGATGTCCTGAAAAGGTTATGATGACAGGTAGTGAAAACAGCCTAGAGAATCTTAGCTTTCAGAATGAGTTACAGAAAGTGAACAGTACTCCTAATATCCACTGTAGATACCCCCTCACGCCCACCCTTGCCCGGCTCTGCTGGCTCGCCATCCCTCAAGAGGATCGAGTTCAAAATTCTCGTCCTCACCTTCAGGGCCCCCCAAGGCCTTGCCCCCTCCTACCTCTCCGGCCTGCTCCATCTCCCCCGCCCGGCCCGCCTTCAGCCTCTCTGCCCTCACCCTCTGGAACTCCATCCCACATTTCCTTCATCTCACTCCCTCCCTTGCTTCCTTCAAGGCCCGTCTCAAGACTCTTCTCTTCAACCGTGCCTTCGACCACCCTCCTACCCTCTCTGTCCTCCACCCTCCCTGATCCCAATGCTCGGATCCTAATCCCTGACTGTTCAGCGCCTTGG